CAATTCCACATCAGCCAAACTACCCTTCCTAGTGCTGTTGCTTGAACTGTCATTTTCGATCTAATTGATTATATTGTTATCTTCATATAGGAACCAGTTATTTGCAAGTATTGTCCTTCTCTCCTGTCTGGTATGTACGGCTTTCTTAGCAGACTGGCAACTGAAAACTGTCGTACTAAATAGCTGGTTAGACTACAGTGAAATTTGAATTGAGACAAAAGTTCGCATCCCAGCTATGTGTGTAGATAGAGAAGAAGAAGAAGAAAAATCATAGTTTTATTCGTCTGACTTTTCAAACTGTTACTGGAGTGCCAATAGAGGTGAATACGCGAGTTCCAGGAAGCAGTTCGAACAATAAATACCGTACAATCTGTGCATGTTTCACCCCTATGTACGCGTGACTCAGACTATTGTACCATTACCTATGATTAAGGATTTCCAGCGAAATCCTAAACATCAGAACAGGAAAACTCTTGTTCCAGTGGTCGCATCTCCTTCTTCTGTTACCGGAGTCCATCGTCAGAGATAAAAGCGTCAACTAAAATCAAGCCAATCAGGGACCAGCCAACCACCAGTGATGTCACTCCGGCGATGTCTGCGCAAGATGATGTATGCCGGTGCCAGATCGATAAATCGATTGAGTTCTCGTCTTAGGTCCAGGCTTCAATTAATCCTCAGCCTGTCCTGTTGCCGGCGTGGACAATTATCCTCGTAGCTGCGAGGTTAAACTCGTGAACGGTCTCATAGGTGTGGACAGCCACTTGCGATAATGCATCATCCCATCGTGCAGCCAGCTTACGTTCGTGTATGCGCGAACCGAGCACGCTTCCATGCTATCCTGTGTGTCCGTCTCGACTGTCTCCGAAATTACACAAGCTGTAGTATAGTGACGTCTCTCTCAAGTACTAGCAGAACAGAGTGAATTTTTCCTTGCCAACCGAAATAGACGGTATCACTGACCTCAACCAGTTGACATCGCGATTGAACCTTCTAGGGAAAACTTTGGGAAGGTAAAGAATAAGTATGGGAAATCAGGGTTAGACGAACGAATAACCTCCGGTAAGGATGAGTTCTATGGCCTCGTAAACAGAACAAGAGAATAGGGACGGACCTCCCACATAGTAAAGGTGCTCATAATTCCGGGAATGGCAAATATTTCCGTGTGCTAACCCTGACATAAACCTAAATTATGGGCCTAATCTTAACCATACCCCTACACTAAGGCGGAAACCGAAAGTTATAAACTTACACTTAACTTACGTTAGCAATAACCTTAATCCTAGTCTTGAATCTTGTGGCGGACGGCCAGCACTTATATCCGATTTTCTTATACAATGTCCACCGCTTCAAGGTCATGCAACTTCGCAGGGAACGCTTTCCGACTGTCTGACCTGCAGACCCTTGACCGACTTCCACACATACTTCCAGATAGCCGCGGCTACCTGTAGGTCAAGTGAATACGCTACCCTTCGGCAGACGCACCATCGGCCACGCTACACGACAGCCCCTCGAGCAATGCAACACACCATTTGGACACTACTTGACGTTGCTTCACAGTGCTCTAGAAACAGCTGCCACCGCTGTTTCCTTCTTCCTCTCAGGCACAACTTGGCGCAGTCGATACTAGCTCCGGCCTCCTCAGTGGTCACTGCTCTCTGAGACAGCAACCGGGAGTTCTTCCACAGATGCCTTCTGTCTTCTCCAACAACCCAGGAATCGATCAGTTGATTGTAGCAATCTGATTACAGCCACTGCTTGAACTTCTACAACCTAAACCAAATCTCACCATAAATATCATCTTATTTTCCTCGGAATTTTATATACAGACGCCTGTATTGCGGGTGGTCCCACGTAAGTCGTCATCACCGAAAGTCCTTCCGCCAATTTTAATTGAGGCCAAGTCAGTCAGCCATTTGCCGAACATTTTGGTTGCTTCTTTCAAAATAAACAGTATTTAACTCGTTCTCTAAACAGTCACAAATTCAAAAAGTACAGCGCACATCTGGGGCAGTTACGTTATGTTATTATGTCATTACGTTATCACTGGGACAATAGATCAGATTCGGCTTTGGGAGTTGTATAAAAATCCATCATTGGAAACTGTGAGGGCACAATAAAGAGTGGACAGTTTTATAGTCAAGCATTGAGAGAGAGAGAATGGTGTCCGCGCCAGAGATGCGTTCATGCCGTCTAATTCAGTGATCTCAGGGAGTGGCGACGGCATGCTTCCTTGGCTGGGAAGTTGACGCGTGATAGCAAGAGGCGCTGTACGCCAAGATGCTTTGTGGTTGAGTTAGTGTCAGACACCCAGACTCCGTGTTGGTCCTGGTCATCACCGAGGGTCTGAGGAGTGAAGTCACGGAGCAAGCCGCCTCTTCGAATGGTCAATTTGTGTTCGTGAGATGGGTTCTGCTCTCTGACCTGCGTAGTGGCAGGGACAATTGTGGCAGCCCGTGACCAGTATCACTGCTGTGAATCACCTCGCCTGCCAATCCTTCCATACTTGCGCGTGCCAGTCTCCCCCTCATGCTCCTGGTCGATCCACTGTGGGACCCTCCGCGTTTGCCTCTCGTCTGCCTCCCACTCTCGGCCGGTTCGAAGCCAATCGGGGTGCACCCCTTGGACTTTTTCGTAACTTTTTGGCGGAAAACATGCTGATAACTACGAATTAAGTATGCAGGTATGAGAAGTAAGCTTAGTGCACTTGAAACTAGATTGTCGTTGTCCCCCCCCCAACAAAGGAACAGCGCTTACTGGGAAAAATTAACCTCGTGAAGTAAAGCCAAAATGTGGACCCGTGCGCAACAGTATTTTGCCCTTCGTAGTGTATACTTCCTTGACCTGACAGGGTTATCGAGGGGTGTTAAGGCTAAGAAAGTTTAACCCTAACGGCTGCGATCTTCCAGGTCCGGTTCCTTAGGAGATGAGA